GGTTCGCGGGTGCGCACCCGATTTCGGAAGACAGCGTTCACATCATCCAAACGAACCGAACTCTGACATCAATCGAACCCGGGTATATATTATAGAGTTGTTTGGGGTGGGGATAAATTGAACGCAATCTGCGATGACGTCATAATCGTGTTGCATTGTGGTCTGTGGAGTGGCCTGAAGTGTGCATATGAAGTATACTCGCTCCCTCGGTCAAAATCGAGGGGTCGAGGGTCTGTCCACATAAACTTCCCTCGTTCACTTCACGAAGTGGAACGCACTTCAAAATGGCAGCGGGGATTCCCCCGAGGGGAATTGCTTAGGGAAGTTCGCGAATGCGTGTCTAAAAGTGGAGTGGAAGGCAGCCACGGCTGATGCTTCTCCGACAAGCTGCTTCTTCTTCGGCTTTTGCCTTAACACTGCGGGTTACACCAGTAACATGCCCGTGGACACTGCAGACTAGCGGTTTGCATGTGTATTGCACATTGACGAGGACAACGAAATAAAAGACTGTTCTCCGCTCTTCAATCTCACAAAAACATTAGCCTTTATAGACATAGTAGCTGCGTCCCAAATGACGCATTATACACTGTGCACTCATACACTATGTACTTATGCACTATGTACTCAACCATGTATAGTATGAATTATATAAGGTTATTTTGTCATTCATAATCGGAGTCTCATAGCCCCTCCCCCTTCGGTAAGTAATTAAAGCTGCGCCAATTGAGTGCATGAAGTGTCCAACATTCCACACGTCATTTTTTTGGTTATTTAAGTGCATCATCGGGGTATTTAAAGTGCACTTTTTCTTTTTGGAATTTTCAGTGTGAACGCACTACTCACACTATTTATACTACAAAACATCATAGAATAGTGCATAAGTTCGCGATTTGGGACGCACTTAGTGTTTCTTGAGTAAAGAAAACGCTGTACTTACTTATTCAAACATCAGTTCTTTATTTAGCTACGCATTGTGAAGAAGTAGGCCCTGTCCCAAATGGCACCCTAAACCCTCGCAGTCTTCCTCTGAGTCCGCACTTTCGTGACGTAATGCTGCTTTGACTGTTGGGTACAAGTCTGCTGCGGAGCTCGCCCCAGTGCGGGCTCGGGAGAAGTGCGGATCGAGGGTGCATACCGGCCGCAAAGGGGGCGCTCGCGAGCAATGTTGGGGTAAATAGAAAACATTCTGCATTTTTACAATTTAAAAAAGAAACTTGATTTACTTTACTGTTTTTACAAATGAGGATGTTTCAAAAATAAGGCTTTAGGAGGCTTTGTTATGTGATTTTTTTAACTCACTTCTGGGTACAAATTTGTTCCCAGAAATTATTTGAATATGTTTAACACACATACAAAAATGCATGCATGTTTACTAAGCTATCTTTAAGGGAACATAGCATTGGCTTTTTGTTTTTATATACAGCAAATTAATAATAATATAAATCAGAGGTGGCCAGACTTTTTGTAACAAAGAGACAAAAATCTAACTTGAATGAGGGCCATAGACTGAAGTAAATTTTGTACTATAAAATATATTATTTTAAAATAGATTTTTCATTTATAAAATTCACTTATATACAAATCAATGAAAAATAACATATTTATTTTCCCTACTTTTCTTGTAATTTGGCAAGATACATTTACCCCTATTTTTTTAACACAGATATAACATAATTCAGAGAGGTTTAATATTTAATTTATGTTACTTATATTGTACACAATGAGGATTTATATAAACAAGTATTGTAGTAGTTAATTATATTAGTAGTAGTAGTAAATTTTTTTAGGAAAGAAAAAAAAAACTTTTAGAGCACAACCAAATGAGTGTTTGTATATAACCAGGTAAGCCAGGGACTATACATCTTAACGTTTCAAAATGAATAGGGTGTTTTCTTTAATTTATTTTATCGCATAATATTTGTGAATATTCACCTTATTACATAGCAGGTGATTCAATGGTGTTTTTTCACCATTTCTTAATTTTTGTGATGTCAGTGAGTTTGTGGGGGGAATATATATATATTTTTTCATTACAGGTTTATTTTAATTTGTCACCTAACAGTGTTTATATCTTGATGTTTATGCTGATAAGTTTATTTAGAGACATCTGTATTTTTAGTTTGAACCATGGGAAATGGACAGTGTTTTTCACCTGTTCAAAGTGGCTTTCCCGAACCTTTGAGGTCCCTGATTGGACAGAGGGGAAATGCCATTTTGTATATAAACTGAACATGAGCCTAGGTTTTGTTGTAGGTTTTTCTCTGAACCAGGGAAGGATGAAGCTTTTAATCTTGGCAGCGCTGCTTGGACTGAGCCTTGCTCAGTTTAACCCAAACACCAGAGATGGAAAAACTGCCATCGTCCACCTGTTTGAGTGGCGCTGGGCTGATATTGCAGCGGAGTGTGAGCGCTACCTCGGACCAAATGGCTTTGGTGGAGTTCAGGTATTTTTAAATGCAGCATTATAGTTAAGCAAGGAGTTCATATTTTTAGGTGCTTTTGAGAAAAAATAAAATAAAATAAAATATATAATAACGAGCCGTTTTAGGTAGGTGTGGCTAACTCTTAACTTTTATAAAGAATATCTCTTTGGATTTGAGACTTTAGTCTTTGCAACTTTACAGATCTTCTTTATGCACCAAGAGCTTGTAACACTCTAAAGAGAAAGGAAAAAATGAAATCGCATCATATGACCCCTTTAAATTGCATGAGCAATTTAATCATTCATTCAGCTGATTTGTTTTGAAATACAGATTCATTCAAAAACAAGTGAGCGTTTTTATGATTAAGTAATTGAATTATTCACTCACCCCATTTTTTCAAAACACTGATGTTCATGTAGGAATGAAACAAGTGAAAGAAGTTTATAAGATTGAGCAATTGAATTATTCACTCTGCCAATTTGTTTAAAACATTGATTCATTCAGGAGCAATATGAGGGACAGTTTTTTACGAGTAAGAAACAGAATCATGGAAGGGCAGGAATGAAGCACCACTGCTGTTGCCCGGAGGCACACAATAGTTCTACAGTAATTGGAAATATTTACAATAGTGTAACAAAAATAGATGAAGTAAGATGAAGTAAAAGTTATTCCATGTTAACTTTTGAACAATAAAACAGAACAAGAAGTTGATATTGAGTGTAATATTGCATAAATATGTGAACCTTATTGTTCATTTAAACATTTTCCAAGGATATTAGCTCTGTTTTGTCATCCGGTTATATTTATTGTTTCTTGCAACATAAAATTGACAGATGAGCTGCTTTTTGTTTCAGGAACTGGGGTGAAGGTTGGGGCTTCATGTCTTCTGATAAATCTCTGGTGTTTGTTGACAACCACGATAACCAGAGAGGACATGGTGCTGGAGGTGCATCTATTGTGACATTCTGGGATGCCAGGTGCAATCTCATCTTATTTTCATTTACAAAACAGCATTTGCTTGGCAAATGAAAACATAACATTTCCTTACATCTGTATTCATCCTTCTCTTCCTAGGCTTTACAAAATGGCTGTAGCCTTTATGTTGGCCCATCCATATGGATTTACCAGAGTAATGTCCAGCTACCGGTGGGACCGCAACATCGTGAATGGAGTGGTAGATGATTAAGTTTAGTCAAGTGAAAAAAAAAGAAACAAATGCTAATCTGGTTTAAGTGTTTTTTTCTCTCTCTCTGAATAACTGGTTACTTTCTCATTACTCAGGACCAAAATGACTGGCAGGGACCCCCCAGCAACGGTGATGGATCCACGAAACCTGTTCCCATCAACCCCGACTCTACCTGTGGAGATGGCTGGGTTTGTGAGCACAGATGGCGTCAGATCAAGTGAGTTCTAACCTACAGTTTCATTGCAAGATGCCTTACACTTGTAAAAATAAATTTTGAGGTCTATAAGATTTATTATTATTATTATTTACGTATAATTTAATTATTTTAAAATGTATACTTTTATTCAGCAAGGATGCATTAAATTCATTAAAAAAAATACTTTTATTTAAATTGAAAATCTTTAAAATTTAAAAGGCAAATTAAATTAAATTAAAAATAAGTTTTGCCATCACATAAATAAATGTGAAAATATATATTAAAATAGAAAACATTCATTTTAGGTTGTAAGAATATTTCACAACATTACTGTTTTTACTGTATTTTTGAGCAAACAAAAGCAGCCTTGATGCATAAGCGAAATCGTACCCCAAGCATTTGCATGTTAATGTACCTAGAATTAATAACTATGATAGGGAATGTACAATTAAAACAAACATTACTCCACAGAAACATGGTGGCCTTCCGTTCTAACCTACAGTTTCATTGCAAGATGCCTTACACTTGTAAAAATAAATTTTGAGGTCTATAAGATTTATTATTATTATTATTTATGTATAATTTAATTATTTTAAAATGTATACTTTTATTCAGCAAGGATGCATTAAATTCATTAAAAAAAATACTTTTATTTAAATTGAAAATCTTTAAAATTTAAAAGGCAAATTAAATTAAATTAAAAATAAGTTTTGCCATCACATAAATAAATGTGAAAATATATATTAAAATAGAAAACATTCATTTTAGGTTGTAAGAATATTTCACAACATTACTGTTTTTACTGTATTTTTGAGCAAACAAAAGCAGCCTTGATGCATAAGCGAAATCGTACCCCAAGCATTTGCATGTTAATGTACCTAGAATTAATAACTATGATAGGGAATGTACAATTAAAACAAACATTACTCCACAGAAACATGGTGGCCTTCCGTAATGTTGTAAATGGACAGGCATTCTCTAACTGGTGGGACAATGGAGACAACCAGATCTCTTTCAGCCGTGGTAATAAAGGGTTCCTTGTCATTAACAACGATGACTGGTAAGAATCTATTTTTAAAGAAAGGTACAATATGAGCGAAGATTTTAGTTTGTACTTCTATTGGGAGATGTAACTGTATTTAAAACAAGCTACTATAGTATGTGCTGTGTATATAGCTACAGTCACTGTTATCGAAAGTATATAATCTATAATATTTACTTGTGCTTTAGGGAGCTGAACGAGACCCTAAACACGGGTCTGCCAGGAGGCACCTACTGTGATGTGATCTCTGGTCAGAAGGAAAGTGGCAGATGTACTGGGAAAGAGGTGGTGGTTGGAGGAGATGGACGTGCTTCCTTCAGAATCAGCAACCAGGAAGAAGACCCATTTATCGCCATTCACGCTGACTCCAAACTTTAAATGACATTATTTAATTAAACAAGCAGCATGCAAGTTATAACTACTGTCATTTTTTACATGGTTGCGTCCTGTTGGCTCCAGTTGCAAAAAGTGCATTTCCAGTTTGTCTTTAGAATTTGAGTATTATTATTGAGTATATATCTGAGTATATATTAAGAACTATTCCAAATTCCTTTCACCTTACATTTTATAAAAGCAGTACAATGATACCTAAAAAGTAAAAATAAATAAAGATGTAAAGTAGGATATATCTAAATATTTAAGTAAATCTAAATATATTAATATAACCGTGAATGTACAATAATCAAACTTAACTAAAATTGCTTTAAAATAGGCTGTGTGTCCAGTAATGGGCTGCAGTTGTGTCTCACACATCAGTACAAATCCTCGTGATACTCTGAACACACTGTACTTCTTTTCACTTCTCTCTGATCATTCCTAAGAGAAGCCTAAGAGGGAAAAAAACTGCTTCTTTTCCTCAATAACGGCAAAAGAAATTAATGCAAGCTCGGTCCTTGCAGTCCGTCACTCAGCATGATGGCCAATAATGACCTGTCAGAGATACTGGCCACACACTGCAGAACATAACCTAGCAGGTCTACAGGGTCTTGCCTTAACGAATTCTGAGATGGACTAGTACACCCAAAGGGCCCGAGATAATGCATAATCTATTTCCCGTCTCACATCAAAAGTGACACAAATGTATTCCCTTAAACAATAGCCTTTAATAGCGTAGAGAGCAGCATTTGATGAGTCCTAACCGTGTATAATGTCAATAAGACCCGCTGTTAAAACTCAGCTGTTTGGGAACTTTTTTAAAATAAAGGCAACAACATTTTTTTTTTAAATACTTAATTATTTTAAGCAAATGTCTTCAGTAAATTTAGTATAAACACCTAAAATACATGAAACACATCAAGGGTAACAACCAAGTAACTGTTACTAACTCATTTTAAATGTACTAAGTTTAAAAGGATAGTTCAACCAAAAATGAAAATTGTGTCACTAATTACTCACCTTCAAGTTGTTCCAATCGCCTAAGACTTTCGTTCATCCTCGGAACACAACTGAAGACATTTTGAATTAAATCAGAGAGGTTTCTGTCCCTCCACTGCCAGCCTAAGCAACTTTCACTTCGAAGGCCCAGAAAGGTAGTGAAAACAACATGGAAGTAGTGGTCGTAATTGTGTGACTGGTGCACAAAAAGCATTCTCGTCAATTCAGAAAATTAAAGTTAAACCACTGGAGTAACATGGACACTTCCATGATGTTTTCACTACCTTTCTGGGCCTTCAAAGTGAAAGTTACTGTCAATGGAGGGACATAAACCTATTGTATTTAAAAATATCTTCAATTGTGTCCCGAGGATTTTAAGTGAATAGGAGAATGGAACAAAGCATTAGGGTGACTAATTAATTTTCATTTTTGGCTGAACTATCCCTTTGATTGATTAAAACCCGATCAAATCAACAACCACAATGTAAATAAAGCACAAATGATGAAACAATGCAACCATAGGTTAATGCTTCAGTGGATGCTAGGAAAAGGGAAAATAGGACCAAATCACAAAAACATTTTTAAGTGTGAGCCTAAATGAATATTAGCACAACATGAAATGTGGAGGTGTCTGTAGAAATTAAGATTCACTGAGATTAATAAATGCTATAAAATATTGTTCACTCTTAGTTCACAATATACCAGCTAATTAGTTAAACTGAACCTTATTGGTAAGTTTTACCAATTCAACGAAGCTTCTATTGTGTTAGTTTAGTACATTATAATAAAAAAGATACAATGAGATGCCTTACTCGTTTTCCTGAATGTTGTAAGTTGTTCTTAAAAAACCCCCCACTGTATTGCAGTCAACACACCTAGTTTTAGCCTTAAAGAGAGCTCTGGTTGTTTTTACTACAGCACCACATCTTGACACAAGATCGGCTATTTGGCTACCGAGAAACAGAGTTCAGTCTTTGATCTTGGAGGGACGTTTTCTTTCTGTTTTTTGGAGCATTCATGCTGCTGCCACCACGTCGGTTTCACCTGAGTGCAGCTGTGGCAGGGACGTCAGGGCAGCAGGGGCCCAGGGGGCCACCCTCTGCGCCCCGTCACACACATTCAAGAGCTCGACATGTACACACCCCCACTGTATTGCAGTCAACACACCTAGTTTTAGCCTTAAAGAGAGCTCTGGTTGTTTTTACTACAGCACCACATCTTGACACAAGATCGGCTATTTGGCTACCGAGAAACAGAGTTCAGTCTTTGATCTTGGAGGGACGTTTTCTTTCTGTTTTTTGGAGCATTCATGCTGCTGCCACCACGTCGGTTTCACCTGAGTGCAGCTGTGGCAGGGCCGTCAGGGCAGCAGGGGCCCAGGGGGCCACCCTCTGCGCCCCGTCACACACACTCAAGAGCTCGACATGTACACACACACACAGACCTGAGCTCCAGACATGAGAGCTTAGACAGCAAAGGTGACATTCACCACACCATCTCACTTTGTCGTCATGGCAACTCTGGTCTGATGACAATGTAGAAAACAATAACTTTATTATACAGATATATGAAGAGTGAGTAACCTTTGTTTCTCTAACACTCTCTTTTTTACTGTATATATAAAATGGTGTTTGTGTGTGTATATGGTAACACATTATAAGGTCTCATTATTTAATGTTCTTTAACGTAACACTGTACATTTCTTACAGTATTTATTAATGAGCTGTAAACACTATTAACAATTATAGCTTTTGATTTTAATAATAAATACTGAACATTAACATTAAGTTTATTAAATGCTATATATAAGCACATTTTCATTCTAAATTATATTTTATTATATATTTATTAATGACATTAAATTTTTTACTTTTTAGTTTATTATAAGACGACAGAGCACCATATTGGATTCAATAAATGATTGAACTGTCCTGCGTCTGTCTGAGTTGGACAGAGGGGAGAGCTGTACCTTCCGATTAGAAGCTCAAGTGTCACTGTTGCAGGTCAGAAGCTTGGACTTGTCATTTTTACTGATGTTTTTTGACATCGCCGTCAACACTGTCCCTTGTACCTACACCCCTGTCCCTTGCTCTATAATTTATTATGCTCACAGTGAACTTGACTGTCAGTGCACATATGGTGGACTGCCTAACGACACTTTTTTTTCCTAATCAACTAAAGGTGGGAACGCGGGAACAGTTGCAAAACAGTTTCCAGAAGGTCCAAATATTATGCTTATAAATTCAAAAAATTTGAATCATCTATTCTAGATGGATGAATTTAGATTAGGGCTACATTTTTTTCCTCCCTATTTTTAATACTGTGACGGGTTCTCTAAATATAGATTTCTGTGCAGTGGTGTTCTGAAATGAGGAGGCAAAGTCCTCACATTTATTTTAAATAAATTCACGTACCAGTTACACATAACTTTGGCACACTTTTCAGGTCAAACATTATTTACACTACCAAGAAAACAACAACCAATAGTATTTTTACTATGTAGTTAATGTATTATTTGTTAAAACAAAGGGTAACACTTTTGTATAGGGACCAATTCTCACTATTAACTGCTTGCTTATTAGCATGCCTATTATTAACATATTGGCTGTTTATTATTGCTTATAAAGCTCATATCCTGCATGACCATGTTCTACATCCCAAATCCTACCCAATACCTAAACTTAACAACTATAAATAAGCAGCAAATTAGGAGTTTACTGAGGCAAATGTCGTAGTTAATGGTTTGTTAATAGCAAGAATTGTTCCTTAAAATAAAGTGTGACCTAACAAAGTATATTTCTTATCAAGTTAATTGATAATTAGCTCATTCATGAAACTGGTGCAGACTGATTAATGCAGTCTGCAAATAACTACATCATCACAGTATGGCACAAGCCGATTCGTCTCTGTTGCATCTGCAGCCAATGTGCTTACTGCATAACATTTGCTTAACTTAAAGAAATATGAAGTAAACGTAAATATATAAATATTTCTCCAAGTATGCACATTTTTTGGACTAAAAAAAAGCCCTAATGGACGCTGTTCAGTGAAACTATGTGAACACAAATAAACCGCAGATGTGACTGAATATGAATGTATTTTATTCTATTCAAAATAACATAAATTACCGATTGATTATTTTGCACTTCTGACATAAATTTAAAAAGCACTCTCACTGCAACCAAGTTGTATCATAAACAGTGGTCAAATATTGAAGCTGGAGTCTTAAATGTTCCTAATAATACACAGGTCAAGTAAGAGTGTGATGTTTTAACATGCTATGACTGTGTGAATGTCTTAATGGGTTAAATAGTTCTGTGTGTGCTGTACACAAGTCTTGAATTTCTCTACCTCCCCCAGCTCTACCCGTATTGATCTGCAGGTTATTTCTTACATGCTATATGTGCAGCATCAGCATGTCTTACATGCCCAGATTAACTTATCTGTGGATGTACTGGCAATAGCAAGTTTTGGTACTTGCTCAGCACCAGCAGCAGTGTAGAAGATCTATTCTGCTAAGACCAAATACATTAGCACTGTCATATCCACTAGCATGCCAAACTATTCTGAGAGTGGTCATGATTGAACTATAAGAATCAGGGCTGTGCAATATATCGAAATTATCGAAATATCGCAAATGTAACAGAACTGACTCAGCAACAGCTGAGTAAAACTGTTTCATCTGAGCATTGTGGCACTTTAAGCATTATTGTATCGAATATCGCATTATTTAATGAGTTATCGCATATCACATTTTTCTTCAATATCGCACAGCCCTAATAAGAATGCAGTAACACATTTTATATGTTTAGCTGTTCTTTTTAGTAATCAATGTATTTTCCTACCATCAGTCATGAAAGCTTTGTAAACCTTTAATTTCATCAAGTTGATTTGCTCTCTAAAAGCCCCTCACGGAACATGTTTTCAAGTCATTTCAAGTTTGAATGTGATGTGACAAAAAGTGATGATAACTGTGTGGGTGAGTTCACTTACTTTTTAATTAGTCTTCTGATTAACACCATTATTTATTTATTCAG